CAACATCCGGTTTCTTCAGACGAACATCCGGTTTTCAGAATAAGATGCCAACAAAGTATGAATTATATTCACATTAAGTATAAAACATGCTACCTGCATCTCGTGAACCAAATGTTATTGCCCTTTTGTTCATATAGCAGTACTTTTAAAATAAAAGTGCGCAATACACTACTTTTGAATTCATTATTGAACTTTGCCATAACAATGCGATTAATCGCGATTAATCGCAAAAAATCCATGCGATTAATCGCGATTAAATATTTTAATCATTGCCCAGCACTAAATATATTATAATATATATATATTATATAAAACTGAACGGATTTACTCAAGTACAATATCTGATCTTCCACCATGTACAAATCCGTTCAGTGTGTTATAAAATATATATAAATGTATTTCTTTATTGTTTAAATATTATATATATATTCAGTGTGCAGCTTTAAATCTGTTTATGAACGTGTTCGAACCCTGCTGCCGGCATGCTGAGCTTGAACGCATCATTCTTCAATTGGAAAATATGTTTAGTATATTTCTTCCGGAGCTTTCAGCCACATGTCACATATTAATGGAGGAACAACAGCACACATCAGCCCTGATCCTCTGTGTGTCTGATTGGACAAATGACATCTGCAGCACAGCATATGTGCTGGTCACGCAATCACCTGGGTAAAGAACACCCCCGCCCCCCCCATCAGCTATCTGATCCTCCAGTAATGACGACTGCTTTACGAGAGTCTTTAATTATTGAGCATAATTCCGCAGTACAAGGTTGAGGTTTCTATAAACCTACTTTTAGTTATTTTTTTGTTTGTTTTATGTTTCAGGACGTTAATCGTATATAAAGTCAATTACGATATCAAGTTTGAGTTTAATTTATATTTAGATGTGTGTGATTACTTTGTCACTCCTCAGCTTCTCGACAGGTGTTCCTTTTTTTTTTAGTGTTCCTAATTACCTTCAAAATGATTCGTGCATGAAGCGGTTTTCGTGTTTTTAACATTATGAAGGTAAAAACCGTCCCAACGTCCCACTTTTATGAGGACTTATACAAATTTACCAGCACGTATGATCTTCAAACTGTCAGTACTTTCTATCAACAGACCCATTATCATAATCACATTACAGCTGTAGCTGTTAAATCACTTCATATTAATACACAATGCATGAATTAACTATTAGATTATACTTTTATTTTAATCATATATGCTCTGTGTTCTTTGGCCTGATCTTCTAAGTACGTCTTCATTCTTTTAACTTTAAGGCAACTCTTCTGGGATCTCAAACCTACTTGACAACACGTATGTTATAGAAGGTTCTCTTTATACGTGTATGTTATAGAAGGTTC